TTGGTTCCCATATGTGTCCGCCCATACAAGAGCCACTCCCCATTAAACTCCCATTGGCTGGTCGATTCCCCTCCCTCCTAGTATATAAGATGTTGCAAGCACCTTGCAGGTGCTCTTGTTGGCAGGCACTGTTCAGGTGTTGTTTGGCCCTGCTGGGCTACAATAAACTTTGGATTTAGCCCCCAACAAGGGACTCTCTTCTCTGTCACCCGTGGGATTCAGCTGCGCCTGTCAGACCCATAAAGCACTCTCCAAAGCCCTGCTGGGCTCAGCGGAGGGTGCTTCATCTGCCCCTCTCACCCCATTGGAGAGCTAGCCGGGGCAGAAAGGGACCTGGGGCGGGAGCGCGGCAGAGCAGAGCAGGATAATCCCTCCCTTGCCCAGCTGTCAGTGCTGTCCCTGATGCTCCCAGATCACCCTTGGCCCTCCTGGCTGCCAGGGCACTGCTGGCCCATGTTTAACTTGCCATGGACCAGAACCCCAGGGCCCTTTCCATGGCACTGCTGTCCAGCCTCTCATTCCCCAGGCTGTCTGTACATCCAGGGCTGCCCCATCCCAGGTTTATAACCCAGCACCATTCCTTGCCCTTGAACTTCATATGGTTGGTGATCGCCCAGCCCTGACCTGGTCTGATTTGTCAAGGTCCCTCTGCAGGGCCTTCCAGCCCCTGAGGGAGTCAACATCTCCTCCCAGTTTTGTATTATCTGCAAACTTCCTTAGCATCCCTTACAGTTCTGTATCCAAGTCATTATAAAACTCTTGAAGAGCTCAGGACTGACGATGGAGCCCTGTAGAACCCCACCAGTGACAGGTTCCCAGTCTGATGTCAAACCAGTGACTGTAACCTTTTGTGTTTAACCCATGGGCCAGCTGTTCACCTGTTGCATGATGTGCTTGTCCAGCAGTGGGATGGATATTTTGTCCAGAAGAATTTGGTGCTAGGGACTCCAAAGTTGGATGCAGCACTCCAGCTGGGATCTCAACCAGAGTAGATCAGAGGGGCAGAATCCCCTCCCTGGCCTGGCTGACTGTGCTGCTCTGGATGCAGCCCAGGACACGTTTGGATTTCTGGGCTGTGAGTGCCCATGGCTGGGTCAGTCCAGCCTCTCAACCATGACACCCTCTAAGTTCTTGCCAGGGCTGCTCTCGGTCCTGTTATCCCCCAGTCCAGTGTTAATATTAGGGATTGCCCCAACCCAGGAGCAACACCTTGCACTTGGCCTTGTTGGGCCTCATGATATTCACAGTGGCTCACTTTCCAAGCTTGTCAGGTCCTTCTGGAACTTCTTCCTTAAGCTGCATAAATCAGAGATCTATTCCAATTCTATGCTACTCTAATTCAAAGATCTATTCCTCTGAAGAGGTCCCAGACCATGTTTTCTATAAAACACTTCAAAGTCTTATCACAGTCTTGTTAGAAATAGTTTATATCCACACAATCTCATATTCGTTACAAGTTCAAACTCATACTAAACTTTGAGTAATATACATATGGCTTGAAGATGAACATAGAAACCAAAAC